TCTCTCTCTCTCTCTCTCTCTCTCTCTCTCTCTCTCTCTCTTCGTGCGTGTGTACGGAGCATCACACTTCACAGCGTGCAGTCACAACGACCAGGAAAAAAAAAAGCAACAAAGGACACATGATGTGGTACTTCAATACGCACCGTGTGGGACCGCTGTGTGGCCATTATTTTGGTCCGCTATGCGGTCTCAGTGACCGAAAAGAAAAAGCGAAATTCCTAAATTAGCACAAAATGTGAGTCTTTACTCTTGTGTATCACAAAACGATTTAAAAAAAAAAAAAAAAAAAAAAAAAAAAAAAAAAAAAAAAAAAACTTTCGACCTAATGTGCCAAAATAAAAGACTGGATTGCTCGATGAACAATCCAGCAGTGGACACACTAAGAGGCTGGCTTGCACCATGCCGCTCAGCCACCACTACTCGGGCCCATGGAACTCCTCTGGGCCCGAGTCCCCTGGGCCCAAATGGTGGCTCAGGTCCTTCAAGTTGGTGCAAGCCTGCCTTTTTGTATGGATAAGGCAAGAGGACATTTGCTTTTTTTTTTTTTTTTTTTTTTTTTTTTTTTTTTTTTTTTTTTTTTTTTTTTTTGTTTGTGGGTGTTTGTGTGGGGTTGTGTGGGGTTGTGTGTGTGTGGGGGGAGGGGGAGAGAGGGGGGGGGGGGGGGGGGGGAGTGGGGGCGCTGGGTGGATGTGTCTGTGTTGTCATGTTCGCTATACTTAACTCCATAACAAAATGCAGGACTGTTTCATCAGACTTTCACCGACTCATCCGGAGTGTGTGTGTGTGTGTACACACACACACACACACACACACACACACACAGAGAGAGAGAGAGAGAGAGAGCGTGCCTGTGTGTTCCTAGCACGTACGAGCCACGTAGCCTGTGACATCTGTCGACGCCGTGCCATGCGATGCAGCGAGTGCGACTGCGAGAATTGAATGGTGTTTTTCCACTGTCCACACCCGAACCGGTCCTGTCCGGTTTGTGGGCAATGGCTGCTGCTCAACTCAAAAATCTTAGGTGACTTAAACACTGACTGGCATCATGTGCCATTGTAGAGTAGTCCGCTCCAGCGACGAGTGTTAGAATCAGTAAGAAGTTCATCACATCTCTATCCTCTCCTTGGCAATCCGCTGCTTCCCCTACCCTTTCTCCCTCCCTAGCCCCTACTCCTTACAGAACCCCACTCCTTAACATACGAAAACAACATACGAATGAGCATCATTCTTTATACCCTCCCCTCCTCCCCCCCTCCCCACCACACACACACACACACGCACGCACGTACCTTGTTTGTTTCATGGACAGTTTGTGACGATTTGTGGATGCAATTTGTGTGTGTGTTGTGTGTGTGTGTGTGTGTGTGTGTGTGTGTGTGTGTGTGTGTGTGTGTGTGTGAGAGAGAGAGAGAGAGATTTTTCGGAAAACACGCACAGTTGGTGGAATCCCAACGAAGCACACACACACAGACATGCAAACGCACAGTTGGTGGAAGTCCAACAACAGTTACGAAACACACACAGACACACAGACACGCAAACACACAGTCGGTGGAAGTCCAACGAAACACACAGACACACACAGTCGTGCCTTTTTTTATGTGGATGCCTTTTTTTTTGGGTGGAGTTGTGGGTAGCGAACAATGACAACAGACACACACACACACACACACACACACACTGTCACACACACATACACACACTGTCACACACACACACACACACTGTCACACACACACACACACACACTGTCACACACACACACACACACACACACACACACACTGTCACACACATGTCACACACACACACACACTGAAAGTGTGTGCAGTTCCTTTTCTTTTCGTCGATCTGTTTTCCTTGGGACTTGGTCTCTTTTTCCATTTTTCCAACTTCCTTCAAAAAAAAAAAAAAAAAAAAAGGGCGACGGCCCGGAGATAGATATCATCAGCAAACTGACCCACCCTAGGTAATTCGGAGTTTATCTCTGTGGTATTTTACTCGTCTGCTTCCGCGGAATTTGAACAGTTACTCCGTTCTTAGCTCTGTTGGCCCTGAAATATTATCATCAACCCGACCCGCCCTTTATTTCGAGAATTTTCGACAGTTTCATGGGTGTACCAACTGAGCTAGGCCGGTTGGTCGGCGTTCCTTTTCCGCTCTTACTCTCCTTCTGTTTTGTTGTTCACCGTTTTTATTGAAGTTAAATTTTAACACCTTTCTTCTTTTTTTTTTTCTTTTTTTTTGTACCTCCTAGGCTACTACCTACCTTATCCATGCAAGTGGTCAGCATTGCTCACCTGCTGTGGGGTCCGCGTGTTTTTTTTTTTTTTTTTTTTTTTTTTTTTTTTTTTTTTTTTTTTTTTTTTTTTTTTT